AGACAGAGCTTCCCATGCCATGATCCCCTGCTCATCCCCCCCCCCCGCCCCCGGAGCTGTAGGTACACGCCACCAAGTCTGGCTCTTTTAAAGACAGGATCTCACTGTTTCCCAGCAGCCTGGAGTTTGCAGTCCTCCTGTCTCAGCCTCTCTGCATTGGTGGGATTACAGGCACGTGCTCCCTTCCCCAACCGTTAGGTTGGATTGGGGATTGAACACAGGCCTCCCATGTGGTTCCAGCCTGCACAAACGGTGTCTTCACTCTGTATGCCACCATGGCTGGGTCTGATCAGTCTGCTTTTAATGTGACTGAGTACTGGAGTTGATGGATCTCCCAAATGCATGCATTATGGAGCTTTTGTGTCAGCAATGACCCTTTCACTCCATGTCAGTGTACACCATGCAGGGTTCATTCACTTATTCACCAAACGTATATTGAGGGCACTTTGTACACCACTGAGAGCTTGGATCTGGCAGCGCGTGGAGCAGTGAGCCAAAGGCCATGCGTCTGTTGTAGGGTTTAGAGTCAGCGCGGACCCTGACATTCAGCAGACACTGACACATGTCATACAGAGTCATGAACAGAGTCAGTGTGATGAGGGGATAGCATGGGGACATGAGCTGTATACCAGGGCACCTCCATCGGCCTGATGTCAGGGAAGCCATCTGTAGGGAAGGGGTGTTTGAGCTGAGACGTGCACGCTAATGGAAGGTCAGAGGGCTTTGGAGAGGAGGCTTCTGATGGATCAGAGCCCTGAGCACTGCAGCGGTGTTTCGAGACATTCACATCAAGGTCTTAAGTGAGCAGTTACAGAGGAGAAGCTGCAACAGAGACCCATTTAGAAGTTGTCTTCCTTGTCAGTGATAAGGTTTTAGATGACTCTGGATAGTGACAAGAGAATTCAGAGAATCCTCCTGCACCTGAACTCCGTCTGCGCCAGCAGACCCCAGGTCCACTTGTCTCATTGCAGTCTCTCTTCTGAGGTATAAATCCCACTCCTGTCAGCTTACCTCATCTTTGTTTTGTCCAGTGACTGTTCCTTTCTTCTTCTAATGCTATTTCGATGTTTCAGTATTAAGCATGGCTGAAAAAACCTAAAGTGGAAACATTCCCACTATGGGTATTTATTTTTTTTCTTCTTTTTCTCTGGTAGGGAAGAGAAAAAAAGTGTTATCCCTGACTTCTTGGTGGGTTTGAAACTTAGCATCCTCTTTGATGTTCATGTTCTACTGGGCTCCAGTAGGAAGGAGCTGATTGACTTCTAGAAGGAGACCTTAATGGCGCCAACAACTATTTCATGAAAGTGTTAGCGTCTTTAGCAGTGCTGGTCAATCATATTCCTCAATTTAAATTTTACTCTAGAAATCGAAAAACAAATTTATAATAACACCTGTTTATATTTAACACCTGTTAAAGAGTAAGATGAGGAAAAAAGATGTTCTTTGTTCTTAAGTCATTATAAATGCTATTTTTCTTCCACGCTTTGCTAATTCCATCAAAGTTATTGGGTTTTTAGAAAAGTCATGACACATTTTTTTTGCATAGAAAAATACATCATAACTTTTCTGACAGCTCAGTATGTTCGGATTTTATTTGATAAAAATGTCTTAATGTCCCAGAAAGATGACCCTTTTATTGCCATAGGTGCTCTCCAGAGAGAGAGAGGAAGAATACACACCTCAACAGGATGCAAGTCATGTGGCCATCCCTTCTCCATTTTTCCATCCTGTTGGGATTTTGGGTATGCACCCAGTGTGTTTCCCAAGCTGCCAGGGCAGGGATTTGAACCATCATTGGCCATGTTGAGTCTGCTCCCTTAACCACAAGGCTACAGGCCCAGTCCATAAAAGGTCCTTTGATATTAAGTTGTTATGTATGGCAGCACTGTACTGCCATGGGTAAAACACTGAGCACTCTCTGGGACCAGCAGTTGGCATAATGGCTATGTCACTGTACTCCCATGTAGTCAACCACAGTTCAAGTCCCAGACCTGGTGGCTTAAACTCATGCCAGGTGCATGTGCGTGTGTGCCCAAGATCCCAAGAGAATGGAGGAGAAGGGCGTGGCCATCCCCCCTGGAGGGTGATTTCTCACTTTCTGTCTCTCTGTCTCTCTCTGTCTTTCTGGCGAGCACATGTGTCCTATAGCAAAAACTTCTCCAAGAAAACAAAAACAAAAACAAAACAAAACGAAAAACACTGAGCACTCTGGCTACCTGGTCTGGGTTCTTAAAGAGGTTGTTGAGCCTCATTAGGCTCAGATTTCATGTCTGTCACGAGAAGGGCATAGAAGAAGGAGCTTTCTAAAGTATTTTATATTTCCTGAGCTAAGTGCCAACAATTTAAGTAAACGTTCTCTTCCTTCCATGTATGAGAACGTGCTTATGTTCTGAACGTGATCTATTTGGCTTTGTGAATTAAGCGTCTGGGCAGTTCTGAGAGCCACAGTTTGAAGGTCTTATGAGAGGAAATTCTGATAGTTAAGACAAGGGGTTAACGATCAGTTCATTTCCTCGAGGCGAAAGTACAGTGTTTTCATCATTTGCATTTGGTTTTCGTAAGCCTTAACATAAAAGCCTTCTCTTTTACGTTTTTATCATTGTTTTAGTTATGTGTGGCTCATGACATTCTCCCATCTTGCTTTGATTGCTGAATATTTTCATTTTCTTATGTGATCATTTTGGGCTTTCCTTACTTTTCAGCCTCTTTTTCAATGTATGAAATTACCGAAAGGCTTTGATTTTACGTCTCTCCTGTTACTTTGATTCAATAACCGAGGCTTTTATTTCAACGTCATTCAATTGTGTTTAGATTCTTGAATGATATTATTTGAAATGATCTTTATTGCCTTTTGGTATTAGATTAGTTTAACTTGTTTTTCATTTGGCACGCAGTTCCTTTAGTGGAAATAACCCTGGCGGTTTCTCCCCTTTCACTCTGAGGTTCTCTTTGATCTTGGTTTCTGTCTTTAGTTCACTTGCTCGCAACACGCATCTGCCTCCTGGTTCTCCCCGGGACTGCTTGATTTTCCTTAACGTGCAGATTTCTGCTTGTGTGTGGATTTTTCTGTGTTTGCAATCTTACCCAGTGTTTACCCTTCTCAGTTTGAACTTGTGCTTGGTTTTGCTTCAGGTATTTTACGTGTTTCTCTTTTTGTCTGGAGCATAAAAGGGTCTGGGAATGTGATGGGGAATGGAAAACAGATGCACTTTTCAAAACAGACAGTTTTAGTTTTCTGACCTGTGAACTTTCTCATCTTGCTGTGGAAGAGTCTTATCGTGATGACCTCGTGCTGCCTTCACTGACTGAAAGCAAGCGTCTGAATGGTGTGCAGTTGCACCCGCCTTCTCTGGGCTGTGCTTACAGCACTCTGTCCCAGGCAATGCCTTGGGAAGAGTTCAGATTGCAGGAAGAGAGTGAGTGCATTCTGGAATGCTCAGTATAATACTGTCTATAGCATGCCGGGAGGGCAGTGCCCAGCGGAGTAGCCAAT